CTGTCGGCCAACTGTCGGCCGGCAGTATGCCAACTGTCCATCAAACTAAGTATCCCAAGTGAGATTTAAAGACATGTATTCCAATAGAAAGTGAAATACCATACTGCAAGCTGGAACTTTTTATGCATGTCAATGCAGAAATGCAGAGTTGTACCTACCCCCCAATATTTGCTTTGCTCTTTAGGAAACACTCAGCAAAGGCTTCCCCAAAAGGAACATCAGGAGAGGCACATTCCTACAAATAAATTGCATGTATCACTCAATAATGAATTAACTGAGCTAAAGTCATATAATGTTCACTACTAATGGTAGATATATAATCACTGTTCACCACAGATAAAATATGTTCACTTTTATGGACACCTTTCGTCTGCCTTTCTGTAAAGTCAAGAAAGCCAAGAAAGCTCTCACTAATTGATTATAAATAAATTGCATAACAAATACCAGTAGGCTGAATATGTTTTGTGTTATTGTATAATTCCACTATGATGCATGTCATTTAGCATTGCAGGTATAACCTACCTTAATAACTTTGCAGAATACACAGCACTCTGTGTCCAATCCTTGCTTGCAAAGTTCATTGATATATTTTTTGGCATCACCAGCTCTTTGCTTGAGCAGCATTATCAGTGTTTTGTAATCAAGAGTAACTGTCATGAAAAAAGACAAGAAGATAACAAGAAGTTGAAGTTAAAATAGCTACACCAAAGATCTCAAATGTTATACTTTCCCAGATATTTTCTAACACTGCCAAGCATAAAATGGATTCAATAATTACTATCACGTAGCTAGACATGTAACATAAAAACATTGCAAAAATAAAAAATAATAAGATAAAAAAAATATAAAGAGTCAAGATTGGCACACACAAATAACCTGGAAATTTAACTTTAAAGCATCTTCCATTAACTACTATTCCAGTTTTCTCAATGGCATCCCTCTGGCGATTTAAATCTTTTATCGTAGAAAAATAGAAATGAAATAAATTATAATACTGTCAAGACCCTATCAAGGAAACAAACCCGAAATTTCTCCTAAAGTAGCCATAAAAAGTGATCATAGCTAGAAGACTTAGAGGCTCAGCGTAAAATCAAACTCAGCCAATTATGTGATTTTCCTGCCAAGCAGAGATGAGTTCTGATACACCGTGAAACCAGCATTCACAACAAAACATAAGACAGCAAACTCACTTTTTCCAATCTTAATAAAAATATAAACGTTATGACTTACCCCGGTTCGTCTTAGCTTGAAAATGCTAAGTAACGTTTGCCAAGCTTTTCTTGATCCAGGATCAAGAATTTATTTTATCGATCAACCAAAGATATCTCACCACTTCTCCTTCTTCGAATTTCTGCCGGAAGATGGTAGAAACAACTCCAAATAGAGAGGCGATGGCCACTTTGTTGTTCTGAACATATCGGTCATCCAAGCTTCCGCCATTTTTTAAAGCTGGACCGTACAAAACGCTTGGAAAATGTGCCACCAACAGGCTACTTCAAAAAACTTGCTGACTCTTATGCCACATTTCTTGAAATTTAAGATAAACCATTCCCTTGACTCATCTGGAGGAGAATGAAGCAATTCAACCCTTCGAAGTTTGAAGGGATCCATAACTGCACTCGACCGCGGGAAACTAAACATTCCCGCTTTTGCCTATGCATATTAATATGAAATCCAATCTCGAAAGGTCAATAGGCCGATCCAGCCCCTGATAAAAAAAGAGGCTTCATTGTACCCAGCAGGAACAGAGATTGTACAAATTCAAGCAGTTACTCTGATTACTGCGAGCAATTATCAAAAAAGGCTGTCATGGCGATGATGGAAACTTAGCCAGTTTATGACGTCACTCCATAGCAACCAGCCTTTTCAAATATTTGAACTTCCGTTTACCTGTGGCTCGTGATGTAATTCTGGTGGAAGTTGAACATAAGATGAACCTATTTTTAGATTATATAGAACAGTATTTAGGTAGTGATTATCAACTGATCGTAAACGCCAACCAGATCTCTCTGAAATCCATTGTGCAATTCGATTTAATATATTTCATTTCATTCAATCTCCTCTCAATGTATTTACCAATAGCCAATCTTGTGCTCTGCATTTGAATAAATGGATCGTTATCATTTTTTATGTTTATTTCATATGATTTTGTATATCCTTTTAAAGTTTTACCTGTTTCATCAATTCTTTTCTTGGTAGAGGAACAGGTTTAAGCACTGGTTTATGATCATCTCCAAACTCTAGGGGTGGTTCAATTCTTGTCTTCGGTTTAGGCACTGGTTTATAACCATCTCCAAACTCTAGAGGTGGTTCAATGTTTCTTCATAGGCTTGAACCATCTGTTTAACATAAATGAACGATGGAGCGAATTTAATTTTACTTGGTGTTGGTTTAGGTTGATATTTTGGAACAGGTCTCAAATCCATGATTATGTCAATTAGCTGTTCTTTTGTCATATTCTGTAATTGGCTTCTATTCATACCTCTATTATATGTAGATATATTTTGTCCATATTTTCTATATGCAATTTTTCTTTAAGAATATTTCAATTTTGTGATCTGGGATTCTCCATACTCATATTTTATACACCTGCTTTTTCTTTAAGGGTTTTTATAGGAACAAGTAGTAGGAACAAGCTTGAACCAGTTTGAACTGGTTTTCGATCCGCCATTTTGAATTTTAGTGAGTCCGCGTTTTTGGATTCCTACTTTGTTGAAAATATTTTTCAATATAGTTTTCACTTCTCAGGATTTTTGGATTTTTGATCTTAATTTTTTCGATGTATTTTTCAAAGTTTTCGAGAACATTTTTTTGATCAGATTTTTTTTTTATTTTGAGCCCTCTGAGGAAAGTTGTTCTGAAACCCCCATATACTATGATACTAATTACTAATACAAGTATGCAAAATTCGGAGAGAGTAAATAGTTATAGCTTAACTTACAAAGTGACTCTAAGTAGTGTGACTAACAGATCAAGAACAAATAGGGTTTACCTTTACCGCGCGAAGTTCGATGGCGCGCGCGCTGTTCATAATTTGCACTTACGTCATAACTTTGCACTTGTGTCACATAAAAAAAAATGCACTCGTTTTTATAAGTACATTGTCATGTACACTTTTGGTTGTTCCTGTAAAAGCGGATTTTCTGGGAATGGAAAACGACGAGCATATAATGTAATAAACATATAATGTGAATATAAAGTTGGGCCGTATTTCATTGTTCTCAATCTGTCAGTCACACTACTTATAGCCAGTTTGTTAGTTAAGCTATTAGTTATTTCCGCTCTAAGAGTTTTAATTAATTTAATTAATCATTTCTTCTTTAATAAATAGGCTTGCGTTTACTGATCAAAAAAAAACCCATGTCAAAAGCTTTTAGCCTCAGGTATAGAGCTTAAAAAAACTTCTTTAACGAGGATCGAAAAGAATTAATAACAAAATGTATGGTTCAAAAAACAGGGTAATATCGTTTTGCAACAACTAAAAATCACTGTCTGCTTCACCAGCAGTGCTTGGCCAAGAGCACTGCAACGATATCGCAAAGGTTGTAGGTCCAAATCCCATACGGGCCTTAAGATTTTTGTAGGCCTTATTTCCACCTACTACATAAGTAGGGTTTATTACTGCGAGGAACTCTTTCATACGTTTCATGAAACACATGCATAATTTCCATATGTTGAAATTCATTGACTCAGGCCAATATCTTTACTGCTTTCGGAAGTCTACATCAACCTTGGGATAATGATATCCAGTATTGTCAAAGATATTTGAATCCTCCTATAACACGTTATCGCAGCTGAGATGAGTTTGAATTTGGGTTTTTTTTTTTGCTCCTTGATGATAATGGTGTAAAAAAAAATTGTGTAACTCAACACCAATTCACAAAATTCATTGAAGTGCATTCTAAGTTCAATCAAAGCAACACTTTTTCAAACTTTCTGGCTGATAGACATCAGACGGTAAAACCGGAAATATGCCCCCTCCACTTTTTTTGTTTTTACTACGGCTTTTAGGTAAAAAAATTCGGCTAATTTAAGGCTAACCGTTATCATTTTTCCATTGTGGTCACTAGAAAAAAAAATATCATTTTTTACCGCCATACCCAAGAAAAAGAGAAGAAGGGCGAGGCCATTTTTCCTAAATTCGTTCAATGCGAGAAAAAGAATTAGATAACTATATTTTACGATACTGCTCATTAAAGTGCACCTAAGCCCAAAAACATTTTTCCGCTCAAGGAAAAAAGCGTAGTTTTTGGAGTGTTTCTTGGCAAAAACTTTCTGATTTGCTCAAATCCTCGTTTTTCTGTGCCCCGCCAAAATGAGGAAAATCAGTCGCCATCTTGGCTTAGACCGAGTTTAAAGAGGAATGGGTTCAAGCGGGTAATGGGGAGCAGGGATGACGAAGGGGTGAGAGCACTCGCCTCCCACAACTGTGGCCCGGGTTCGATTCCCGAACCTGGTGTCACATGTGGGTTGAATTTGTTGTTGGTTCTCGTCCTTGCTCCGAGGGCTTTTTTCCGGATCCTCCGGTTTTCCTTCCTCCGCAAAAACCAACATTCCAAATTCTAATTCCATCTGGAACAGTGGACAAGAAGAGCCACCCAGAGGATGTCCAGTGCTAAATTGTTTATAATTTAATATAATTTATATTATTTATATTTATGTGACATCAAATCGAGAACACAAAAGTCTACACTTCGCACATTTTCACTTGTTTAGGAAGGTTGTAGTCGACTGTCCGAAAATATCCCGACTAAGTGTGTTGTAGGAGGATGTAGCAACGTGCGAAATTTGCAAGAGGGTATCGCACTTCATACATTCCTCATACAACACACTTAGTCGGCATATTTCGGACAATATCGACGAAAACCTTCCCAAACAAGTGAAAATGTGTGAAATGTAGACTTTCGTGTTTTCCATTTAAAGTCACATTAACGGCCAGAACCATTCTTCTTCAAACTCCGTCGTGAGCCGAGCTGGGTTTTACACAGAAATACTCCCAA